ACAGGGTCCACGGATTGAGTGCTGGGCGTGCACTGGGTTTGCAATGTATCGGCCAGCAGCTCTGCTTTTTCGTCATCATCGAACGCCGCGAGTCGGCCTGAGGGGCCTACGAGGGGGGGCATAGTTACTACCGTATCCGATTTGAGAGTACGAGCTAAGCGGTAGTAAGACCTTTGGGAGGGCGCGAGTCCTTCTAAGAAATCAGACCATCTGGCATCTCGGACTTCGGCGATGCGAGACTTTACGTCGCGTTGTAGGGCACGCATTCGAATACGATTTTCCGCGGTAGGATACCTGTCGTAGGCGCGTATCGAGGCGTTCTTAGCTCTAAGGAGTTTCCTAATATCGTCGGACAATTTGAAGCGGTGAAGGAAGTCCTCCGCTACAACTTGTTTCGATGACCTATCTAATGTCGAGGTGATGTGTGACGTTAAGATGTCTATGGCTTCAGCGGTATCCTGAGGAGACGGGATAGAGTCCGGGTTAAACGGGAGCGATAGTGGATCAGATTCCCATTGACCCAGCGAAAAGTACTGCGGTGCTATTTCAGAGGGGAAGCTCCACACGGATCTCCTCCCGGATTAGGAGGAGGGATCTCACACCCCCGATTACTCTCTTTAGACAACCCATACCCTGGGCCAGGAAGGTCAAGTACCTGGGCGTTACCCTGGATGCATCGATGACATTCCGCCCGCATATAAAATCAGTCTGTGACCGTGCCGCGTTTATTCTCGGTAGACTCTACCCCATGATCTGTAAGCGGAGTAAAATGTCCCTTCGGAACAAGGTGACACTTTGCAAAACTTGCATAAGGCCCGTCATGACTCAATGGAGTGTGGTGTTCGCTCACGCGGCCCGCACACACATAGACACCCTCCAATCTCTACAATCCCGCTTTTGCAGGTTAGCCGTCGGAGCTCCGTGGTTCGTGAGGAACGTTGACCTACACGACGACCTGGGCCGCGAATCTATCCAGAAATACATGAAGTCAGCGTCGGAACGGTACTTCGATAAGCTATGCGTCATGATAATCGCCTTATCGTTGCCACCGCTGACTACTCCCCGAATCCTGATCACGCAGGAGCCAGTCACCGTCGACGCCCTAGACACGTCCTTACGGATCCATCAGATCCAATAACCTTTGCATTAGACGCCTTCAGCTCTAACACTAGGAGCAGGCTTAGGGACCCCGGTAACCGTACTCGTCGAACTCGACAAAGAGTTCGCCGTGCAACCTGACCCATGAATCAGCTCGCTGAGTTTCTCGCCGGATCTTCTCAGCGGGTCGCGATTCCGATCCGGTAGTAGATTCATTCGCGAAGCAGCTGCTCTTAAGCTGTTAGGTCTCCTTCGGAGGCGCTCGGGTAGCTGTTAGCAAATCCCACCCCTCCTGGCTGAGCATTTGCTTGCCCACCTGTCCTGGTGAAACTGGAAAGGCCTCCGGGCCACCAGTAATAATTCAAGATAGGCAGTGTGGTGGTACCTATCCGTGCGGGCCCACAAGTGGTCCTACCACCAGTATATTAGAAAATATTTTTGAATTATAGAATGTTCCTACTCTCTGCGTCGTATTCCTCATTGCTGAAGGTACACACACTTTTGTATCAACTTCGCAGGCACGATCTTCCTCCATCTATTCTTGTCTCTGGCGGTGTGGAGAGCGTTGTGAAACGTGGAATCAAAAGCGATGTGGATCTGGTCGGGTCAACGTATTGGGCTGCGCCCCCGAGCTGTTTTCCCATCTACCTTACCAGTCACGATGAGCTTCTCGAGATTGCTTCCATCCTTCCGTGCAATATGACCGAAGTATTTAAGGACTCTGCGAAGACACTCGGATGGCAGCCGCGAGGAGATTTTGGACTCTTACAAAATTCATACGTTGGTTCGTAATGTTGTCCACGGAATACGGAGCATCTTTCTCCAGCACCACATCTCAAAGGCGGTAATGCGTCTGCGATCTGCAGATTTCAGTGACCAGGTTTCAGCGCCATATGAAAAAATCGAGAAGACTAGAGTCCGTACCAGTTTGGTTTTGGTCTTAAGATGTTGCGACCTCTCCAGATTTTTCCGAGCTGAGTCATGGCCATACCAATTCTCCGGCGCACTTCCTTCTCGAAGATAGAATGTTAAGGAGCTATTAAAGGCTATTAATTTAATCTATACTATTATTATAAAGCTGAAGAGTTTGTCTGTCTGGTTCAATACGAAGTAATTACGGTTAATCCACGGTGCTATTCTTTCACCGTGGAAGTCGATCGTGAACATTTGGGAAGTAAGTATGTATTTCATTAGAAAAATTGGTACCCGCCAGCGGGATTCGAACACCGTTGTATCGCTCGATACGAACGCACCGGACGTTTTACTCTTTAGGCCACGACGACTCTTCTTACATATTATTATGTATAAATGATTTTGTCGTATTCAAAATAAGCATTTTCTTTGTATTTGTCGGGGTCGTGATCGCAATTACTATTCATAATGATGAAGTCATCGAATAATTTGCTAGTTTTATTTTTACATACTAATATGGTGATTGTACATTCAGAACATCTGAGAATGAAGAATATCTACTCAGTTGTAGGTAAACTGTGGAGAGTAGAAGTAAGAACTACCATATCAGTGTATTAAAAAGAGGAAAGATTTTTTTTATTGTGTAGACGAGTGGACGTGCTCACAGCCTACCTGGTGTTAAATGGTTACTAGAGCCCATAGACATCTACAACGTCAATGCGCCACCCACCTTGAGATATAAGTTCTAAGGTCTCAGTATAGTCATAACGGCTGCCCCGCTTTTCAAACCGAAACGCATTACTGCTTCACGGCAGAAATAGGCAGGGCGGTGGTACCTACCCGCGCGGACTCACAAGAGGTCCTACCATCAGTAATTACGCAAATTATAATTTTGCGGATTTTTATTACACGATGCTATTCCTTCACCGTGAAAGTCAATCGTGAACATTTGTCAAGTACGTATTTCGGTGTTATATCCTTTAGGTCACGACGACTTCAAAACTTAAAACTTTATCAGTAAAAAAAAATTAGAAGGGCCACCTTTTTTTCTAATTAATACCCCAAAAGCTTAATTAATCATTCTTTATTCATATAAACACCAATTATTCTAGAATAATATACTGTTCTGTATTCCGGTGTGAAATTGCAATATTGGACGTCGTCACTGCGCTCGGGAATGTCCAACTCTGCGTACACGACCCTCGGCAAATCCTATAAGAGATTTTTTTTATGTTTTTTATTGCGTAGGCGAGTGGACGAGCTCACGGCCCCACTTGATGTTAAGTGCTTACCGGAGACATCTACTAGGTACATTGTAAATGCCGCCTTGAGATATGAGATATAAGGTCTCAGTATAGTCACAACGGCTGCCTTGCCCTTCAAACCAAAACGCATTACTGCGTTTTTACTGCTTCATGGCAGAAATAGGCAGGGCGGTGGTACCTACCCGCGCGGACTCACAAGACGTCCTACCACCAGTACATAGTTTTAATAAGTTCCACTGAATTCAATGATACATATTTTACAATACGACAGCGGTATCGGTGCGGAAGCGTACGAAACATCCACCTAACTTAACTTGGGTCCTACAAAATTACTGATTCACCATAGGCCAATAGTAGACCAGATACCAACGTACTGCAATGGCCAAACAGTTTTGTAACGGTACCTTTTTTTTTGCATAGATGGGTGGACGAGCTCACAGCCTGGTGCTAAGTGATATTATGAGATGAAGAATACCTACTCAGTTGTAGGTAAACTGTGGAGACTAGAAGTAAGGACTACCATATCAGTGTATTAAAAAGAGGAAAGATTTTTTTATTGTGTAGACGAGTGGACGTGCTCACAGCCCACCTGGTGTTAAGTGTTTACTGGAGCCCATATTTTTTTTCATACGAGGCTTCCGCGCCTAGGGCACGCGCTTGATTAGTGATATCTACCGGTACGGAATCATAAGAGATCCTACCACCAGTGAACACTACACCGACATCACCATCTTGACCATTTCTGCCGTTCATGCGATCCACTTTAGTGGGTGGGACAAGCGTTATCCAAAACAAATGATATCACGACCTCAGGTTGAAAGGTCCATGGATAATCTACAATTTATGTAAATTTATGTATATCTGCGCGGGTAGGTACCACCACCCAGCCTATTTCTGCCGTGAAGCAGTAATTCGTTTCGGTTTGAAGGGTGGGGCAGCCGTTGTAACTATACTGAGACCTTAGAACTTATATCTCAAAGTGGGTGGCGCATTTATGTTTTAGATGTCTATAGGCTCCAGTAACCACTTAACATCAGGTGGGCTGTGAGCTCGTCCACCCATCTCAGTAATAATATATAATTATATATATATATATAACAAAAGATGACACAAACAGAATCACATACTGCTCTGCTGCTCTTGTAGGCGACTTTCTGATAATTTTGACGCGAAGACCTTTTCGTGTACCAATAGATCAATGCTACGATGAGAGCCAGGACTATTATACAAATTACAGCTACAACCGAATATCCTTGAGGCGTGAAGAATAAATCTGAAACTGTAAAAGTGTAGCAAGCAAACACCGCAACATATAATTCCATTATTTTAACACCATACAAGTATATCTTATATATTTATATACATATATATATACAAGAATTGCTCATTTATATATATATAAGATATACTTGTATGGTATATAATATTGTATGGTAATTTGTAAGGTATATATATATGTCGTGGATAACGACTTTTAGTTGTCGTGGATAACGACTTTTAGTAATATTAAGACGGTGGTTTTGATTATTATTTTAAATGATGAGATGTTGTTTTGATAAATATCACAAAATGAAGGGTAGACTACGTAACGCCACAGTATAAAATGGCGGTACGTGGACAGAGTCGTGGCATTCCGTGTCAGACAGTNATAAATATCACAAAATGAAGGGTAGACTACGTAACGCCACAGTATAAAATGGCGGTACGTGGACAGAGTCGTGGCATTCCGTGTCAGACAGTCATTCAGTCCGTATCGGACGGTCGGTCCGTCTCAGTCAGTGAGTCTCTGGCAGTCAGTCAGTCTGTCGGTATGTGCAACGAAACTGTCGGTTTATCCTGTCATTGTGAAAGTTGTATGTGTTAAGTTTCAATAATTATGATTGAAAAGTTTTATTGACTAAACTGAGTTCAATCGAAAACAAGCGATGACGGAACCTACCGCTCAGCCATCCCTGACGCGTGCTGACATCAGAAGTGAGATCAGGACTCTACTCTCACTGGCGTGACGTGTTTGAACATGTTCGAAGTACAGCAAAAAAACATGATGCAGATCAGAATACTAGTAATGGTACGCCACAAGAGCGTGAATGCAGCATACGTAAGTCTTGTAATAACGTCTCTGTTACCTTGATGGAAGATCTGAGCCACGAAGAAATAAATCATCACATCTTACGTTCTGGCTCATGTTGCCCAGTTTGACTGTCGACTTCATCACATGGCATTTACTAGCGGAAATACAACACGTAACAAGCTATTGCAAGAAATTAAGGCAAGTGCAAATCTCAAGTGAAATGTCGATCGCAATAATGGATCTGTTATGACGAGTGGGTAGTTCCGACAAGAATTATTTTAAGCGGCTGATTTCTGCTAGAGTTACATGGCACTAGTGCAGTAAAACCAGGACATGAGACTGTGAATTGTCGCTGAAATTTTAGAATCTACTAGATTCAATACCAATAACACTACACGTTCAATGACTGCAAGCAAGCAAGCAAACAAGAAAGCAAGCAAGTTTCCGTGGGGAAGAAAAATTGACACATCTGAAGTCGTCGTGACCTGTAAGATAAGACGTCCGGTGCGTTCGTGTCTGGCGATGCGGCGGTGTTCGGGTCCCGCTGACGGATGCAGATTTTTCCGGTGAAGTGCGTGCTTGTGCGTGCTTGACAAGTGTTCGCGGTTGGCTTCCGCNACGGTGGTTTTGATTATTATTTTAAATGATGAGATGTTGTTTTGATAAATATCACAAAATGAAGGGTAGACTACGTAACGCCACAGTATAAAATGGCGGTACGTGGACAGAGTCGTGGCATTCCGTGTCAGACAGTCATTCAGTCCGTATCGGACGGTCGGTCCGTCTCAGTCAGTGAGTCTCTGGCAGTCAGTCAGTCAGTCTGTCGGTATGTGCAACGAAACTGTCGGTTTATCCTGTCATTGTGAAAGTTGTGTGTGTTAAGTTTCAATAATTATGATTGAAAAGTTTTATTGACTAAACTGAGTTCAATCGAAAACAAGCGATGACGGAACCTACCGCTCAGCCATCCCTGACGCGTGCTGACATATATATAATCTGAATCTCGGAAACGGCTCCAACGAGTTTCATAAAATTTAGTATACAGGGGGTTTCGTGGGCGATAAATCGATCTAGCTACGATTTATTTTCAAAAAATGTTGTTTTATTCGTGTTTTCAATAAACAACTTTGTCGATAATTTTGATTTTTTCTTTAAATAACCAGATGTCGGTAAAATCGAAAAATACTATTCATATTTCATCATTTTATCAATATGTATTTCATATTTAAATATAATTACTAAAAAACACAATTCATGAAAAAAAAAAAAGGAAATAAATAAATGCACCAAATTTAACGTAACGTTGGAACATTTTTATGTGTTCCCGAAAACGCGGTAAAAGTAAAGCGCCCTGTAAACGATCGAGCAACGACTGTTATCTTGTTTGATAAACACCCCCATACACGTTCAAACTTGTTGGTCAAACACGCCGTCAATTAAGATTTCCATCAAACACGTCAAACACGTAGACTGTTTGATAAACGCATCAAACACACTGAAGTAGGAAACCTATGGAAATGAAACGTCAACAAAAAATTCGTGCCACTGTGACGTCATCTGACCACAAAACATGGCGGTTTTAGTGCTGTACAAAAGATTTCGATGTTATCAGGTTTTATCGATAAACGTTCTTGGCTCATTTTATTTTAAATATTGTTGAGTATTATTTATTTGTAGAATTTATACTTTAATGGGAAGTAAGTAGGTATATTATTATGTGCAAATATGATATAAATCATATCATATTTGCACATAATAATCGTATCATATCATATTTGCACATAACAATATACCTACTTACTTGATGGGTGAAATCTAAGACAAGTTCGTCCTTCGAATTTGCCAAGTAAACGATATGATGATTTTTAAAAGTTGCTACACTGATTTTATAAAGTTATCGTTTGTCGCAAAACATAAAGATATGGCGTAGTACAGTGCCATCTGCCCATTTCTAGCATGCTAAATGTTATCGTATTTTGAGTACGTGTTTTTCTTAAACTATTACAATCTATTTTAATTGTTTTGCTGACTCTAAAGTCCGTAACACACTACCGCAGCGCACCCCAAGGAAGGTGCGCCGCACCAATTGAATCACTTTCACTTGAGAGTGATTCAAATTTTAAACTTATCAAGGGACCGCGTGCAAAAAAAACACCTACAGAACATTTATTCATTATTAAAAATGTCATTCCTTGTGACTTCCTCTATAAAATCACTTAATTATTAAATATTTAACGAATTTACAAAAGTGTTTTACTCCGAAGAGATTTTGTCGGTAGCCTTTTTCCCGAAATATCTAAACAGAATGTCTAAATATGTTTTGATGACATATTTAATTAAGAGGTATTTATGATTAGTGTCATGATCAATAGATTCCGACCGAAAAATGGTGTTCGATTTTTCGGATGAGGGCTTCATAATGAATTTAAATATATATAAATTTGGGGCATCAACTTTCTTGAGATCCTATAAAATATGTTTTAATTATTATTTTTGTATGTTTTAAGCATGATAAAATAAGAAATTTTATATAAGCAATCATATTATAAATCGATATCAAAGTCAATAAATAATGTACAACTCAAAACAGACGGCCGAACTGACGTGACATTTGGTGCGCTAAACATGGCGGATTTTCGGCCTCATTAGACATTTACGTATATTCATGTTTCATTTTATGTACGCACTGAAATACTGATATGTTGTTTTCCTGCGAGTTACAGTGCTGAGTAAGAACGAGATAGATATATGTTTATGCGTGTGCCTTCAAAATGGGTGCTATACGTATAGAACAATATGTCGTGTCCCTACTGTATAGGTCTATGGCTCAAAGCAGTAAGGGAAAGAATTCGAAGAAATCCTGTCCGAAAGCAAAAGATTTTATCTCGGGAGATAAAGATAGCACCTAGAACCATGTCGCGTATTTTAAAGAAAATTTTAAAAGACTTAGGACTTGCATCCTATAAGAGACGTACTGGTAATTTCTTAACTGATAATTTAAAAGACAATAGGTTGGTAAAATCGAAACAACTACTGAAGCGGTACGCAAAGGAAGGTCATAGAAAATTTTTGTTTACGGATGAGAAAGTTTTTACAACTGAGCAATATTTTAACAAACAAAATGACCGTATTTATTATCAAAGCTCTAAGGAAGCTTCCCAATTAGTCGACAGAGTGCAACGTGGGCACTATCCCACTTCAGTGATGGTTTGGTGGGGTATTAGCTATGAAGGAGTGTCTGAGGCATACTTTTGTGAAAAAGGTATCAAAACATCGGCACAAGTGTATCAAGATACCATTCATGAGAAGGTAGTGAAGCCCCTTAACAACACCATGTTCAATAATCAAGAATGGTCCTTCCAGCAAGACTCGGCCCTAGATCATAAAGCTCGGTCTACGCAGTCTTGGCTGGAAACGAACGTTTCGGACTTCATCAGAGCTGAAGACTGGCCGTCGTCTAGTCCCGATCTTAGTCCGCTGGCTTATGATTTATGGTCAGTTTTAGAGAGTACGGCTTGCTCTAAACGCCATGATAATTTGGAGTCCCTAAAATAATCCGTACGATTGGCAGTGAAAAATTTTCCCATGGAAAGAGTGCGTGCTTCTATTGATAACTGGCCTCAGCGTTTAAAGGACTGTATTGCAGCCAATGGAGACCACTTCGAATAAGCTTTTTATACTTTAAATTGTTTTATATTTATGTATTAAACTAACACACTGTAAAAGTAATAAATGTTATTTGCAATAGAATTTTTTATATTTTTTATTGTAACAGTATTTATGGCCAGACTAAGTATATCGTCGCTGTCAAACCAAAATCCGCTATGTGCAAAAACTTTATTCTGAATTATCGAGTAAAAACATTTTCGTATAAAATTTAATATGAAAGTGAATTTTTAAGAACTATAAAGCTATAGATAAATATTAACGCCATAGACACATAACAGTTTTTTTTTATACGATAGATAGGGATGTGAACTATACGAAAAGGTCAAAAATTAAAAATCTCAAAAAGTGCACATAGCAGATTTTGGTTTGACAGCGACGATTTCTTTTTTTAACCTAAAACATGTTGATAAGCAAAAATTAGCAATCTCTACCTGTGTTATCTAGGGAGAAAACAGAGTACCTTTGAAAGATAGAGTTTCAGGTGTAGGAGAAGTAGCCGAGACCGTCACGGTGGAGACCGTTGTCGCAGCCGGTGCTGCAGGAGATATAGGCGATCCAAATCCTCTATCTGTACTGTTAATTGCTGTTACAAATAAGAATGAAATTAGAACGTCCATAAACTCAAGAAATTTCAAGGGCGTGTTTGATTGTTTTATTTATTGGTATCGTTAGACAGGTGGATGAGCTCACGGCTCGCCTGGTGCTAAGTGGTTTCTTAGCCCATAGATATCTACAACGTAAATGCCGACCACCTTGAGATATGAGTTCTAAGGCCTCAGTATAGTACAACGACTCCCCCACCCTTCAAACCGAAACGTATTACTGCTTCACGACAGATATAGGCAGGGCGGTGGTACCTACCCGTGCGGACTCACAACTTGCTACCACCAGTAATAAAGCACATTATAAATTTGCAGGTTTCGATTTTTATTACCCGATGTTATTCCTTCACCGTGGAAGTCAATCGTGAACATTTGTTGAGTACGTATTTCATTAGATTAATTGGTATCCGCCTGCGAGATTCGAACACCGGTGCGTCGCTCGATACAAATGCAATGGACGTTTAATCCTTTAGGGCGCGACGACTTCAAGATCTACCGTATGTCGTTAAATCGCATCAAAAAGGCTTAATTGTGTTAATTAGGTTACGCTACCTGGAGTGGACGGCGAGGTAAGAACAGTTTTCCTGCGTGTTGTCGAGACAGTGGCATCGGTAGACGACCAACTCGTCATAGGATGTGACGTCACACTCCTTGTTGTCGAAGTCCTGACTGCCGTGGGAAGCGGGGCGCTAGGGCCTGACTGATCCGACCAAACAATAAATATTGACATACACGTATTTATACTAAAATATAGGTAAATAAAACTGGAGCGTCTGTTTGTAATATTGAAATACCCGCTTCTTACTACATGCATATGAATATATTTATGGTACACACACCAAAATAACATTTTTTACAATTGTACGGGCACAACTAGTACTACTGTTTCAACCTTGACATAATAGGAAGGATGGCGGACCTAGCTAGGCGATCGCAGGATATATTTAAATATACACAATATGCATGATGAATCTATTGAAAACATACTTCAACAACATAGATGGACAGTTAATGTTCTTATAAGCCGGTTGCAGACCGAAAACTAAGCCTAAACTCAGCAAGCTAGGCTAAGCTAAGCTAGAAATAAATTGCGTGCACACCAAAAGCTAAGCAAACGCTCAGTCAGTGTTGCGAACTTCAATTCAACGGACGACGCTTGCCATAAATATAACCGATGAAGGAAGTTTCAATAAATTCAATACGTTACACATAGAAAAAAATAACATTAATACTGACATATTATTTGTTTAAGAAAAGGATATTCCAGATCTTGGATATGTCAATACATTCAATTTCGGCACACAAGTGGGGGGAGTTTAGAACTTTATTTTACGAGTTCGTATGAGGATTAAATATGTTGATAATAATATGAGGATACTGGTGGTAGGACCTCTGGTGAGTCCGCACGGGTAGGTACCACCTCCCTGCCTATTTCAGCCGTGAAGCAGTAATGCGTTTCGGTTTGAAGGGTGGGGCAGCCGTTGTAACTATACTGAGACCTTAGAACTTATATCTCAAGGTGGGTGGCGCATTTACGTTGTAGATGTCTATGGGTTCTAGTAACTACTTAACACCAGGTGGGCTGTGAGCTCGTCCACCCATCTAAGCAATAAATAGGTAAATAAAACTTAACAAAATCTAAACTCACATTTTCCGTGGTTTGTTGCCGCAGTTCGCAACTGTTTTCCAAGTTAAACCTTATCAAACCAATGTTATAATATACTGTGTTCGAACAATCTGTAAATAAAAGGCTCTCATTACGACAAATCGACGATGAGTCCTAACTGATTAGATGTATGCGAATAGGTAATCTGTAAGTCGACATAATTACTTCAATGCGTCGCGTAGGGCACCGGTGACCTACACGGCAGTCAACGGATTAAATCATCAAAAAATTACCTACATTTTGAAGTCGCCGTGGCCTAAAGGATAAGACGTCCGGTGCATTCGTATCTAGTGATGCACCGATGTTCGAATCCCGCAGGCGGGTACCAATTCTTCTAATGAAATACGTACTTAACAAATGTTCACTATTGACTTCCACGGTGAAGGAATAACATCGTGTAATAAAAATCGAAACCCGCAAAATTATAATTTGATTACTGGTGGTAGGAACTCTTGTGAGTCCGCCCGGATAGGTACCACCACCTTGCCTATTTCTGCCGTGAAGCAGTAATGTGTTTGAAGGGTTGCTTTGAAGGGTGGGGCAGCCGTTGTAACTATTAAGCAAGGTGGGCGGCGCATTTACGTTGTAGAAGTCTATAGGCTCCAGTAACCACTTAGCACCAGGTGGGCGTGAGCTCGTCCACGCATATCATCATCATTCTTTCCTATTACCCTCTGCTGGGGTGTAGGGCTTGAATCAAATCCTTTCATTTACATCGGTCCTGGGCAGTCTTTTCTAGCTTCTCCCACGTCATGCCCAAGACGCCTATCTGCTCCACCGAGCGACGCCAAGTTGTTCTGGGGATTGGTCGCATATTGAGAAAGCCCGATACCCACCTATCAAAGAGAGCACTGACCTGGAAAGTGTCTGGCAAAAGGAAGAGAGGCCGTCCTAGAACAACTTGGCGTCCACGCATCTATATATATATATAAAAACTAATTGCTGTTCGTTAGTCACGCTAAAAGTCGAGAACGGCTGGACCGATTTGGCTAATTTTGCTCTTGACTTATTTGTGGAAGTCCAGAGAAGATTTAAAAGGTAAATAAATATGAAAATGCTCGGAATTAAATAAAAATGACAATTTTGTTTATCCTTTGATGTGTCCCCTTCGGACGGATTCCTTTTGTTTGTTTTAAGTTTATTTTATACAAAAGCTTAGGCATATTTTATTTATCGATTGAGGTACTACGAAGTTTGCCGGGTCAGCTAGTAAGCAATAAAAAAACTATAGTAAGGCCAACCAGACGAGATAAAAAATGTAAACAAAGTTTCAGGAGTAAAAAACATTTTTATTTAAATAAACTTCGAATTTTAATCGCTGTCATCTGTACTAGACAAAAATGATTCGTCGGAAGAGTCCGAGTCAGCTGTGTTTATGATAAAACTATCTATTGTACTATCAATCATGTTGTCAATATTGCTATAAAAATTGTCCTCGACTTTTATAACATGATCCACACAATTTCGCCATCGACACCGATGCCCAAAATGCTCGCTGTTTTCCCCATTATACGTGTTTTGTACGGATATTCATCTGTAGGCCAAGTTTGCTTCACGTATTTGTGCACATTAACGACCATTCCTTTTTCATTCGATGTAAAATACGTCCGCTGTAAATAAAATAAAAATGGTGAGGAATGGTAAATTTTAGACTATTTTCTTATTACTTATTATATAAAAAAGAATCTTTTTTGGTACGGAACTTTAAAAATCAAAATTATGGTAGTGGTTTAAGTACAAATGAATTAATAAATTAACTTACCTTTTGACGCTTTTTGCGTGGTAAATTCATTTTAGAGCCGCCAGGCTGTGATTCCATAATTAAAATCAACAACTAAGTACTCACTATAACAGCAAAAATCAAAAATAAAACTAACAAAAACGAAATAATAACAACAACAAACCAAGTAAATACGGAAACGAAAAAATATGTATCACTTCGAACGCAATCCAAACAGGAATGAACTTGTTCACAAAATGGCGGACCAAATGTTGACAACTGCGGTACTCAGTGCTTTCCTGTACCACGAAACACACAACGACAGTTGTTGTCGACCAACTGACGCCATTACTGCGCGTACGAGTGATAAGGACAGAGATAATAATCCCTCGCTACCGCAATGTAACTCAGTAACGGTCCGCTTGTTTACGTTTATTATCTCGTCTGGTTGGCCTAAGTTTAGTATATTACTACTATAATCTAATAATCTAATACATACCAGCTTCATTATTGTATAAATCAAGTATTTTCACTGCTTTGCAAAGAGCGTCCCCTTTGTAGTTCAAATATAATTCAAGGCTGAGATTATATCTCTTCGGCAATATATGGACGGATTCGTCAAAGCAATTCTCGTTGGCACTAATGTTTCCTTCACCAACCAGTTCTAAATGAAGCAAATCGTGTCTCGCTGGAATCATCACGATTAACATTGAAAGAAATTTTAATCAATTTGAATTAAAAATAGTGTAACAAAAAATGACATTACTGTAAAAAAAAAGCGTGTAGTGCTTTTCAGGATATTATCATAATAACCCTTCTACTCATGTCTGGTTATAAAATATTTATAACTACTGATACCATGTACGTGCACCCCACGTTTTTTTTACTATAAAAAATATTTTTTTCTTACACTATCTTTAATTGTGGTGGTACTTACCCGTGCGGACTCACAAGAGGTCCCACCACCAGTAACTAAACCAACAATCGAAAGGAAAACCAAAGGAAAACAGCGCAGCCGGGAGTCTTACTCTGATGACCACTGTCTCCACGCCTCAAACTCACCTGTCAGCAATCGATAGCTAGTTGCGCCGACCGGTATGTTCGTAAAACGCAAACTCAGCGACAGGTAATAAGCTGTCGAGCAGTACTGGAACTCTTGATAAGAACTGTAATCTAAAGGAACGAGGCGTTTTGTAACTTTCATAAACATATGAGTTTATACACTTAGTCGATAAGCATTATTTTGCTATGAGCACGCACGTAATCGGACATTGTACTGTGGTGATTAGTGCGAGTTTTTAAACGTTCTCGATAGCGTAAAAGTTAACTCAAAGTATGCAGTTGGAACCGCGTCCCTAGCGGCAAACGTGCAATAAGCACACAGGAGAACAAGGGGAGAAGTTAAGCAAAGAGCGAGGTAGCTACCTTTGAGAATGACGGATGTCGAATTCGTTTAGAAATTACTTTGTTAACTCACAGTAGCTTTAAACGGATGAGGTCAGAAAAAATTCTGAATGTAGCTAAACAGATTTTTTTATCTTTGAAGGATTGCTGGTGGCCCGGAGGCCTTTCCAGTTTCACCAGGACAGGTGGACGAACAAAGGCTCGGCCAGGAGGGGTGGGATTTGCTAACAGCTACCCGAGCGCCTCCGAAGGAGACCTAACAACTCAGAAGCAGCTGCTTCGCGAATGATTCTACTACCGGATCGGAATCGCGACCCGCTGAGAAGATCCGGCCAGAAAATCAGCGGGCTGATGCATGGGTTAGGTTGCACGTCGACCTCTTCGTCGAGTTCGACGAGTACGGTTACCGGGGTACCTAAGTCTGCTTCTAGTGTTAGAGCTGAAGGCGTCTAATGCAAAGTTTATTGGATCTGATGGATCCGTAAGGACGTGTCTAAGGCGTCGACGGTGACTGGCTCCTGCGTGATCAGGATTCGGCGAGTTGTCAGCGGCGGCAACGATAAGGCGATTATCATGATGCATAACCTTATCGAAATAAAATAAATGCTATAACAACAGTCGCAACCTTGGAGCCATAACACATGAGCTGTTCGCGGAAGAAACTGATGCTGTCACCACCAAGTAAAAGCCTCTTGACGATCTCAAATGCGTCACTGTGGTACATTGAAAACGCTTTAGCTAATAACCTGGTAAATATCTCTTTTACCACAGAAAGCGATGTGGCTATACCAGACAGACACCACGTAGCCACACGAGAAATCAAAAACGGCCATTCTTCTTACTGGTGGTAGGACCTCTTGTGAGTTCGGATGTGTAGGTACCAATGCGTTTTGGTTTGAAGGGTGGGGCAGCCGTTGTAACTATACTGAGATCTTAGAACTCATATCTCAAGGTGGGTGGCGGCGTTTACACTGTAGATGTCTATGGGCTCCACTAACCACTTAATACCAGGTGGGCTGAGAGACCCTCCATCCATATCGAAGCAATAAAAAAATAAAAACTTGGTGTGTGAGCACGCTAACACTGGTATCGGTTCCATTACGGGAATGTTTAATCTACGTCAATAGCCAGTACATAGTTGGGCGTAGCCGCAAAATATGGCAAGAGCTAGATGAGAAAAGCCGAGGATCGTGCTTAGTGGCGATTGGATAGGCCTATATTCAACAATGGACCAGTATGGGCTGATGACATAATATGATTCAACTCAATTCGTCTTCTCAATCTCAAAACTTACTAATTTTACATGAGTGTTTTAAAGGTTTAACATGTGATATTTTTAATATTAATCAACATTTCGCAACATTTATTTTTAATTTGTTACCAGTTACATTATCTGTCTTTTAAAGTAAGATAAAATTATGTATTAATTTGGTTAATAGTAGTCAAAACATAGGTAAACTAAAAAAAAAAAAACTAAAACTAAGCTACACTCTTTTGACAGTATTTATGAGAAAAATACTGGTGATACCAAATGATTCCGCATATTAACTCACTTACCAAAATTTTTGGAAATTGTGCACTTTTAATGCGAAAAGACGAATTATAAATTAGACATTGGATACAAACTCACCCGGCCTGAATGGTGAACACTCTTGTTTCACACCCACACATACCATTATTAATATGTTTAAAACGATAAATTTTAATGCGAGCATGTCTTTCGCCATTTTAAACCAAGTTCAAACTAATTGAACCCTTTCCTCATGATATCGGATCATTAAGGAAATCCATACTAATATAGTTTGACGTCAAATATATGCCAATGTTTGTCGCATTGCATCTGTGGATTATTTCCTGTTCATCCATTTTCATGTGGTTATCGAGACTCATGGAGGCCGCTGTCCAGCCCGACATGAGGTCGAAGTGACGATTGTATGATTCAGCGGCTATCCCACGCCTCAAACCGAACGTGCTACGCCACAAACATAATCCAGATGATGGTACCTACACGTCTGAGCTTAAAATACGCTCTACCACCAAACAGTTTTTTTTCTACCTATGCTGATAGCCTTGAGAGGCTATATCGGTTTCACCCTAGCGCAGCGGTCGGGGAACTTCTTTAATTATTACTCCAAAATATGTTTGTGTGAGTTTTGGCCCCATGGCGAAGAACAAAAAAAACGAAATCGCTTCTTTTTAGCATCCTTGATATTATAGCCCCCCATGACAATTTGAAATCACAACGATTCTAAAGAAGTTTCAGTTCAATATATATTTTTTACTTACAAAAGTTTCATTATTACCCCCCAAAATTTCATTTTACTCCATTTGGGGTAATTTACCGCGGTTCCTCGACCGCTGTCCTAGCGTGTAGAGCTCACGGGGCTCAAACCGGAGGTGTTGCTAACACTGGCCCTACCAAGAGCTGTGCTGTGGAGAATCTACTACCAGATCGGAAACGCGACCCACTGAGAAGATCCGGCGAGAAACCCAGTGGGCTGTGTATGTAGGTTAGTTTACTCGCCGAACCTTTCGTGGCAAGCGATGGACTCGACGAGAACGATGACCGGTGCTTGAGGTACCTAAAGCACCGTTAATGGATCGGGAGGATCCGTAATTACGTGTTTAGGGCGACGTCGACTGTTTACCATTCGATCCACAGGATCGGGTATGTAATTACCGGCGGCCACGACAAGAAGGTTTTCGTGTGGTGCCGCCTTCAACCAAATAGTTCTCAGTCTTCTTCGTGTAATGGTTTCTTCATCAGCCGCCGAGCGTCTCATTTTTTAGTCCACGGACGCTTTCATAAATCGTGCGTACTACTGTGTTATTCTGATTATAATTGTGTATATTGTGATAATTAAGAAAGAAAATTTCGCTTTTTTCCCCCCCTTTAATTCCCCATACTTATATAAATATAATTTGCGTAATTACTGGTGGTAGGACCTCTTGTGAGTTCACACGGATAGGTAGCACCACCCCGCCTATTTCTGCAATGAAGCAGTAGGGCGTTTCGGTTTGAAGGGTGGGGCAGCCGCTGTAACTATACTTGAGATCTTAGAACTTGTATTTCAAGGTGGGTGGCGCATTTACGTTGTAGATGTCTATGGGCTCCAGTAACCACTTAACCCCAGGTGGGCTGTGAGCTCGTCCACCTATCTAAGCAATAAAAAAAACGGAAATCAAAGACTGGATCGGGTTTGACTAGTAACAAATAAAACCATTATTTCGCGGTAACAAAAAAAAAACATTTATTATCATTTATAGGTACATATTTACAAAATAAAATACGTTTTTGAAACGCATTTTTATACTTAAAACTATATTTGAGTCGTCTATTATCAAAGGTGGCAATCTGTGCATTTGGACAAAAAAATGTTATTGATATGTCAATACAGATTGATTTGAATATAATCGTCTCCTTCAAAGAATACGGTTCAAAACCTGCATTAAATAAAGGTTAATACTTAACCTGTTATTTATCTAAGATGTCGTTCAGAAGAGTTTTGTGACTGCCAATGGAATACAAAGTCAATAATTCGTTTTTCTGATTTACCAATAATTGTCCAAAAGTCACATTGCCGGCTTTGATAATAGTCGACTCATTTATTGTTGAATTATTTCCCATGTTACGAATAATTTATGCCACGTTTAGAGGGTTGCTGTGCCCACTGACTTATGATACTTCCCGGTGTGCTTAGTGCGAGTTTTTTAACGTTCTCGATAACGTAAAAGTTAGCTCATATTTCTATGGAATGGGAGCGTTTGCCTACGTTTGCCGCTAGGGGCGCTGTTCCAACTGCATACAAAATTGGGTTAACTTTTACGCTATCGAGAACGTTAGAAAACTCGCACTAAGCACACTGATCTTCAGTGGGTCGCGATCCGGTGGTAGATTGAGCGAAGCACTGCTCTTGCTAGGCTTAGTGTTAGTAAGCCCTCTCGAGTTGAGCCTGTGTGATCATCTACCCGTTAGGGCGTAGCTGGAATAACTCCTTAGAAATGGAGGGTAGAAGTAAAAAGCACCATTTTGTTTATGGGACAAATTGAAAAAATGTCCGCCTATAACCAGCGTATTATTGTCGGAAGACTCACCGAAATGGCCTTAGTGTAGGAAGTGGAACTGATATGAATACAGCAGTTTTAAACAGAGTCAAATGTGCTGAGTTGAACGACTTAATATTTTTCGTGAATGGTGCAATTAAAAAATATGCAGTATTCAAAATTTCAACTTTTTATTATTTTTATTACTATTAACGTAGAGAAGTGTTTCTTTCCTTCTTAATTTAGTATCCTACTCTAATAGTTTATGATTATTTGTAATTATTTTTTATAATTGATTTATAACTTTTTTTTTTGTTCCTAAAACTATCGATACTACGTCCCTGGAATAGTTTATTTCATCTCTTCTTAAATTTCATTTCATTTCGTCCCAAATCGATTAGTCTCATTTTGGCGTATCAATTTTCATACAACAGAATTATTATTTCATAACTGAAGAACTTTGTTAAAAACTCGTTACTGGCAGCAATGGCGTCGCAAGAAGGTTATTGCCATACGGAAAAAAAAGAGTGCCCCTAGACTATGGAGGGTAGAGGTAAGAAGAACCATCTCAGTATAATAAAAAGTGTTCACTGAAGGACAGCAAATTAAGATGGCGTCATAATAGCAAGTGGTTTCTTACTAGCGGTAGCACCTCTATGAGTTGTAACTATACTGAGACTTTGGACTCATGTTTCGGGAAATCAACATGACCGATGTCCACGGGCTCTAGCTAACACTTGACACCAAAACATACCATGACCCAATCCACGCATTTAAAAAAAACTTCACTTTATTTCCGTTTCGTCTAAACATAGACCTAATAATTTTTTTTGACTAACAGACACGGCAGCGAATTAATTTAACAAAAAAAATATATAGTTTTTATTTTGTTGAGGCGGATCCGGTGGCGGTCGTCAGGGGTGTCACAAGAGGAATTGGATTATTGAAAAAAAAAAATTTTTTTGTCGATGTCATGTCTATTATCTGTCCAGCTGGCATGTCCTGGAGTCGTGCACCTCCTTCACGAGCTGCGCCAGCTCCTCCGCGCTGTACCCGATCAGCTGCTTCAGATCGCAGACGAACTTGTATACAAACCTGAGACGCAATTAATCCAAACTGTGACCTTGACTTCTCTGATGAGGATATTACAGGGCGTCTGTCGCGAACCAGTGATGCTGGTCGAAGGACGATTTACTGGTTGTAGGACGTCTTGTGAGTCCGCGCAGGTAGGTACCACTGCCCTGTCTATTTCTGCCGTGAAGCAGTAACGCGTTTCGGTTTGAAGGGTTGCGCAGCCGTTGTAACTATACTTGAGACCTTAGAATTTATATCTCATGTTGGGTGGCGCATTTATGTTGTAGATGTCTATGGGTTCCAGTAACCACTTAACTGTGAGGTCGTCCACCCACAAGTCGCTTTATCGAGACTTAAACCATTCACGTGCTGATGTCCATGGGCTCTATGAGACGTCCGCGCGCCATCACCGAACCGAGCCTAGCTGAGCGAGTCTACATCGACGCATGGTTCCGCACCTCTTCCCCGAGACCTTGGCGATCATGTCCCCGTCGTAGTAGTATCTGAGGGCCCGCGACAGCTTCTCGTAGTTCATGGCCGGCTTCAGCTTCCTCGCGCCCCACAGGCACGCCACCTTCTCCGGCTCCAGCAGCTTGAACTCCCCCTCGGTGCCTGCACCAGACCGCTGTTCTTAGTGAGAGCTTTTTTAACGTTCTCGATAGCGTAAAAGTTAACTCAGATTTGTATGGAGGTGGAACAACGCCTCTAGCGGCAAACGTTTTTTTTTAATAGTTGGACGAGCTCAGCCAACTCAGCCAAGCTTTTTATGGTGTCAGTATAGTTACAAGGGCTGTCCCACCCTTCAAACCGAAACGCGTTACTGCTTCACGGCAGAAATAGGCAGAGCGCTGGTACCTACCCGCGCGGATTCACAAGACGTCCTACCACCGGCTAATTTACTAAGGTCACTAATAGCTTATAGACGTGAATGCGTCTCGCAGCTACTGTGAAACGTGAGATCCTCGACTGTATCAAACAATGCATACAAATTTGAGTTAACTTTTACGCTATCGAGAACGTTAAAAAACGATGCCTTTTTTATTGCATAGATAGACGGAAGAGCTCACAGCGCACCTGGTGTTAAGTGGTTACTGGAGCCCATGGACATCTACAACGTAAAAGCCGCCACGTACCTTGAGATATGAGTTCTAAGGTCTCAAGTATAGTTACAGCCTTGACCGCTTATTAGCTACTGTTTTGAATTTAGATATGTTTGGGACTGAGAAAGGATAAGTTTTAGGACTCACTCCGTAGTTCGTTGATGCACTATTTTTCAATTTTCTCACTGGCGAGAGTTATATGTGCTGATTGATCAGCAAATCACAAGTTTATTGTTTTTGCACCGGCACCGTGTTTTAGTTTTTTTACACACTCTCTACGCGCCATTTTCACACGCGTTGTTATTCTTGTAGCGTCAACAGATGGCGTGGATAGGGGATTGAGGAAGGAATAAGGAAAAGGAAGTGAAAAAATAAGAATAAATAAAAAAAAGCTACCAAATGATTAATAACAGTCGGGGACCGGGGGGCCGGGGGGAGGGGGTCGTGGTGGTCCGACACTTACCGTGCCACCTGATGATCTTGAAGTACTCCGCGCTGGTGAGCAGCTCCAGCAGGAACTGCCACAGCTGGATCTGCCCATTGTTGCCGCTCCTGGTGACGTAAGTGGTGGCGTCTTCGTCGCTCTGCTGAGTGACTACCTGCTGGAACGGAGAATCCCAAATACAAATGGTCGCCCGGTGAGCTAAATTCGACCATGATTAATTGAGATTATAAGTTTGTACACTATTATGATTCTGTAGTCAAAGACTAATATACTTCTATAATCACCAGAGGTCGGAGTAGTTAGATTGATTTAATGTCGTTGACGTCAAACGTAGAGGATAATATGGATATGCCTCCAAAATACCAGAACTTCATATTTATCGTGATATTTGTTCCGGAATTTTGAAATTAACGTGAATCTGTGTTTAAAGGTGAAAAACGTATTAATAATATCAATCTACGCTAATATTTACCTGAAATAAAACATGTAACATGTTTAACGCAGCTCTTCATCGTGTATAGATCAGAATATAAAGATATCGATATTTTAGTAGAAAATGTTAAAAAAATATTTCTAAAAGCCCCTAACAGAGTAAAGAGTTTAAAAGAAATATATCCTGACCTACCACTGCCTCCGCAACCAGTAATTACAGGATGGGGTACTTGGTTTACAGCAGCATTTTAATACGCTCAACACTTCGAAAAAATTAAATATGTTCTAAACAACTTCAACAGTACCGGTTCTATTGCCATTCACAATGCAAAAAATATTTTAGAAAAATCAAATATACAGGGAGATTTAAAATATATCGAAAAAAATTACCGTATTATTCAAGTAGTTCTAAAAGAGTTAAAAAATCAAAAATTATCCAGTTGATTCACTTTTAATGTTTGACCAACTCAGAGATACTATTAACGAGTGCAACAGTGACAATATTAAAAATAAATAATAGTTTAAAAAAACTAACAAATACGCTTTTATAGAAAATCCAACTAAAAAATAGAAAATAAATTTTAATAAATTTGAATTAAAAATAGTGTAAGCAAAAATGATTTTATTGTAAAAAAAAAAAAAAAACGTGGGATGCATGGTATCAGTAGTTATAAATATTTTATGAACAGATATGAGTAGAAGGGTTATTTTGATAATATCTTGAAAAGCACCCCACGCTTTTTTTTACAATTAAATAATTTTTTCCGGTTACCTGTTTGGGTCGTTTCTTGATCACCGACTGATGCAGCTCCAAAGGATCCTTCGGCGGCTGCTCCTCATTCTGGACAACGGCTGGAAATGTTGCAAAAAAAAAAAGAAAAAACATTTATATATTACCAGCACAAAATATACATTGAGGGGTGTAAGAAAGGCTGTTGTTTGATTTAAGCGACAGCGGCTCCAGCCGACAAACTGTCGGCTGGAGCCGATCTCCGAAAAAGCGAAGCCCTAAAGAATGATGCAAGAAAATCAATCTATCTCTCTCTCTTTCCCTCTCTCTCTCTCTCTCTTTTTCTCTCTCTCTCTCTTTTTCTCTCTCTCGTGTGTGTGCTTGCTCCCTCAAAAACTTGCATTCAAATGTAAACTGAAATACCGAACATGTTTTCTCCTTTATTAATGCACCAAAACATATTACAACCATATAAATTATAAGTTTAAATATTTAAAATTTGGATTGCAATTCAAAACAGGTGCATACAGAAAAATTATAACAACTGAACAAATATCTAAATACCTTGTGTGTATATACATGAATATACACACACACATACGCTCACACACACTCAAACACACAACCGCACGCACACACGCTCATACGCATATATAAGTTACTATCTAATTACATTAAATCTAATGTATTATTCTCTGGACAATATTAATTATTGTTATAGGTCTAATATATACACAATATGTTACTAGTGCTGCCATCTGCCTTGCATTGTCGGTAGACATGTTTTGTTTGTTCTATGGTTTTAAATAAAATCCAGTCTGTGCCACTCGTCAATCCGGATACGCTGTTTTATTTTAATTATTTGAGAATATGTTTAACTAATTTACAATATTTATAAAAAATATTTTTTAAATATATCAATGTGTTATTCTGCTGCTGACCGTGCACAGCTATTCGATTCCCGTAACATTTGCAAACTCACCGATAAATTTACATTTCCTTAACAGCTCAAAGTGTGTCCAGAAGAGGTCGCCGGGATCCGACGGCACCTTTTCCCTGGAATAAACCATTATGAAACATCAAAAAAAGATGAAAAGTGTAAATCCCCTACAACGCGGTATATTGGCTCCGCGTTGTACCAGCTTTCTAGCGTAACGCGACCGTACGAACCCATTTAATATATAATAATAATTTTATAGAAAAATATAATAAATATGATTTTATAATGTAACACAATGCATGTACATAGATTAACGTGGTATGGACATGTGATGCGTAGAGAGAAGATGCAAGTGACTAGGAGATGTATGGAAATGGTAGTGCAAGGTAGGGGGGAAGAGGTCGACCGAAGAAGACATGGATGGAGTGTGTGAATGACGATATGAGAGAGAGAGGAGTGAGTGTTGCGATGACGGCTGATACAAGAGAATGGAATAGAAAAATTAGCTGTGCCGACCCCACCTAGTGGGATAAGGCGGAGACAAAGAAGAACGCATGTACATAGGGACGCGGTATACATTATGAACTGTATTATCATAAACTTCCTAATACAGAAATAGTACGAGGGAAATCCCCACGTTATCTGAATACGTCATGTATTGAAATAGCGTTATATGAAATCAAGTAATTAGAAATCGCGCTATATGAGATCAGGTAATTAGGAATCGCGTTATATGAAATCAAGCAATTAGAAATCACGTTATATGAATACACGTAATTAGAAATCGCATTATATGAAATCAAGTAATTAGAAATCGCGCTATACGAGTTCACGTAATTAGAAGTAGCGTAAAATGAGAACGCGTTATATGAATAGAACAGAGATCAAGATGTCGTGACTCACTTAAATTCCACATTGGACATCGTGCACAGTCCCGTCCCGGCAATGTTCCAGTCTGACAACTTTATCCCGGTCAAATTAAACTGTCTCACCGCCCACTGGATCCAGAGCTTGACGTGCTGCACCGACCTGGAGAGACGAGAGTTCCAATTGTCATCCAGCAATTGCATAAGTGCTTGAAAAAGCTCAGAGCCCGTCGTGTAAAGCGCTTACCGGGCTTTAAAGCCCCCTTCGAGACTTGAGGTCGAAATTCGAGTTTGGTATATCGGCTTCCCCGCCCTTCAAAGAGACATGACACCAATACCACCAGCAAATGTCAGTCGACGATCACAATGCGCTGGTATAAGACGCAGAGAAGGCTGCTGTGCGTTCTCTGATGACTCCCTTAATTGCCCCACCCGAATACTGCCAGATTACATTAGCAGTGCACCAGGTGAACCATCAGCCCTTACTCCTATATTGACCAATGAAGACAAGCCTCTGACGCCGAGTCATTATATTGACGCCGTCTGACACCATGACGGTTTCCCACTGACTATATTATTGAATTCGTCGCGGCCTAAAGGATAGGACGTCCGGTGCATTCGTATCTAGCGATGCACCGGTGTTCGAATCCCGCAGGCGGGTACCAATTTTAACAAATGTTCACGATCGTGTGATAGAAATCAAACCCTAAAAATTTTAATTTGCGTAATTACTGGTAGTAGAACCTCTTGTGAGTCCGCACGAGTAGGTACTATCACTACCTACCTATTTTTGCCGTGAAGCAGTAATGCGTTTCGGTTTGAAGGTTGGGGCAGCCGTTGTTACTATATTGAGACCCTTAGAACTCATATCTCAAGGTGGGTGGCGACATTCACGTTGTTTATGGGCTCCGGTAACCAATTAACACCAGGATCTAAGCCATTTTTTTTTTTTAAAGACTGAGTATGAAGGGAAGGTTTAGTCACCAGTCAGCCGGGTCGTCGGGTATCCTGATGCGGTGATCGCTCTTGAACTGCGCATCGACCACCCACTTGACGGCGGCGGCGTGCGGGTGCCCCGGGTCAGCGGCGTGGCCCTCCCCCTGCTCCTCGGTCAGCGAGAGCGTGTCGTCCAGATCCAGGCCTGTCGAAGCCAGACTTTACTCGCAGCTGATGTCGAACCACCTCAAAACCTCCGCTTTGAGACGAATAAAACTCCTTGTTTTTTTTTCTACCTAAGCTGAGAGCCTTGAGAGGCTATTTCAGCGTAGCCTTAACTAGTAGCTGAGCTCACGGGGCTCAAACCTGACGACCTTGCTAACACGAACCCTAGCAAGAGCGGTGCTTCGCAGAATCTACCACCGGATCGGAAACGCGACCCACTGAGAAGATCCGGCGAGAAACTCAGTGGGATGTGTCTGACGGGTTAATTTACTCGTCGAGCCCTTCGTCGCAAGCGACGGGTTCGACGAGAACGATGATCGGATAAAACTCCACAATCCTCTCAAAGTATACGAACAAGAATTGAGAGTGAGGTGATAAAGATGGCAGTTTATGACGTCACTGCCGTTTAAGCACCGAAGCGCGACAGAGACAGCATATCGTTTCCGATCCGGTAGTAGATTCATTCGCGAAGAACTGCTTTTGTTGTTAGGTCTCCTTTGGAGGCGCCCGGGTAGCTGTTAGCAAATCCCACCCCTCCTGGCTGAGCCCTTACTTTCCCACCTGTCCTAATAAAATTGGAAAGGCCTCCGGGCCACCGGTTATCAATGAAACAAAATAAACACTACGCGTGCAACTTGATGCGCGTGAATGTAATGAAACTTCTTTTTCAGTGGGTGCTATTGTGGTTTTCTTCTTTTTTGCAGGACAATGCCGTGTAAAGCCAACCTTAAGTATCTTAAGTATTAATCTAGAAAATGGTTTATCTATGGGCCGGTTTTCATCCGAATCGGTACAAGGTTTTATAGAGTAACAAACACCCAAACAAATTCTTAGTCAATTATATTGTTGTTAGAATACGCAGCCAAACTCTGTCCACCACAATGTTGCACACTAACTTGCGTGCCTCCTGGGCAGCTGGACCACCTCCTCATCAGGCTTCAGGACGTCTAGTATGTTTATCTTCTTCTCGGCCACCTTAATCTGTATGTTCACTTGGACGACGCCTTCGCCCCGGATACACTGCTCCACTAAGGTCTTGTGGTTCTCCAACTGGAAATACATCATCAGCATGTGCCCTAGTTTTTCCCCTATCTATTCGCTGGTAGCTTAGGGGGCTATTCTTGCTTTGCGCGGACGGGTAGGTGAGGTCAGGGATCATTTTTCATAAGAATATAAATTAAGATCAGACATGACTTAAAGGCCTTAGTTACCAGGTCATAAAATCCTTGAAAAAAATAAAACACTAGAAATTTGACAGATGCTCGAGGGACGAGTGAAGTCACGATTGTGTGCTGGTGTAGAATGATAAACAGAATCATCCGGTACCAGTGGTTTGGCGATAGCTAACATACAACAGGATTCCTTTTCAAAACTTTAACATAATTCTCTCTCGTTCTCACCATTTTAGCGTCCTGCAACCAAAACGTGTAGTCCGATAGATCTGTCGCCAGCCTCCTCTCGAGCATGTCCCGTAGACGGGAGAGTCGCGTTCTGATGTCCATTAACTGAACAATAATTTCCTCTGAAATTTACATTGATCAGTTAGCCCTAACGCATTCGTTAAGTCCCCGAAATGGCATCCCTTATCGTTCTGATAAACAATCCGTCTCCTAACGGTGCCCCTTACCGTTTTTATATAGCCTCTCCACGGCGCCCCCTATTGTTCTCATAAATCGTCCCACCGGCGCCCCCTACCGTTCACATAGTCTCCTAACGTTGCCCCTTTCCGTTCTTATATATCCTCCCAACGGCGCCCTCGACTGTGCTCATAAGCCGTCCCAACGGCGCCACCTACTGTTCTCATAAACCGTCCCAACGGCGCCCCCTACCGCTCACATAGTCTCCTAACGGTGCCCCTTACCGTTCTTATATATCCTCCCAACAGCGCTCCCTACTGTTCTCATAAACCATCCCAACGACGCCCCCTACCATTCACATAGTCTCCTAACGGTGCCCCTTAGCGTTCTTATATCCTCCTAACGATGAAGATGGTGGAATAGCAAATTTGTGTCTACCATAGCCTCCTTTGTACGTGAATGAGGAGTGAGATCGTCCTGGAGATAATCTGACAGATAATGTAAACGGATGTAGTTTCACGCAAGACATCCATAAGAAACTATTAGTCTGACTGTAGATGTGTAGTGTAGCACCAGGCTGCTGGCCTTTTTGTTTCCTGTCCAATCGATAGCATGTACCAGGAGTTATGATATAGACGTGAATGCTAATACTAATCTTGAGGTATATATCCAATTGTATTCTAATTTTTTTCCTTCTTAGCCGTTCTTATCACACACTACTTACGACCACAGAAAATATGCATTTTTTCAGTTCTGATTTTATGACATTGTATTATTCGACTATTGGAGAAATTTCAATAAATCATTCATATACAAATTTGGTTGTGAAATTGCCAGGAAAACTTCTTACATCATTATCAATTTACATACGTATATTTATTTCTCTCCACTATTTGCTAAGATCATCGATTAAGTGCAACCATCTTTTTCAGGCATATAATGAGGTCTCCAAGGCAAAGTGTGGAAAAGCTTCTCATTCTTGGTAAAGTGGAAGAGAAACAAGCTAAAGGTAGGGACCCAACAATATAGCATAAGGTGAATAGTTGGGGGCACCTTGCAGCAGACTGATATTTATGGAAATACTTTAATATGTGTGGTCGCACTCGTCAGTAATGAGAGAACAAGGTAGAAGAAAGAATAATGCTATCTAATATGTCTAACCACTACTTTCGTTGCTCTGTAGTGTGTCTTCATCGTCTGGTGTATCAGTGAAAACAGCTAATGGTGCGGGCAACATCTCATTACCCGTCTGCATCAATCCTGAAATAATTGTTAAAACAATTAATGCTTGTAATGTAAAAACAATAATGTTTGCTTTAAACATGATATAATCTAAGCTACTTTTATTACATTCAACCTTGAAACTAGAAATGAGACTGTCTACGATTTGCCACCAACAAGTGCTTGCTTACTTTGGTCATATTGCTCGGCGGCCACCAGACAACCTGGAATTGGCTGTGGTGGGCAAGGTAAAAGGGAAAAGACCCGCTGGCCAGTCACCAAACCATTGGTCAGATCAGGTAACCGCGCTCACCAGGCTCTTTGTTATGAACGTCCTGAGAGAAACCAAAAGCCGTACGATATGGAAGCTGATGGTACAAAGAGCCATGAAGGCCTTTCAGGGATACGACCTTCAGCAATGAAGTATGCGACTAAGAAGAAGAATCTCCACAATTCAAATACTGAACAGTAAATTATATTGTTCTTATTGACATCCTCTTTTGAGTGAAATAAATTTTGTTTTGTGCCTAGTTTAATTATTATTTTATTTGGAAATACTATTTCATAAATGATTGAGCCATTTATATATGATATAATCATTGAAATTACGTAGTACGACTTTTTTAAGCTACCCCTTTCCCACCCCATAGAAAAGCTTCTGTATTATATTATAAAAAAATTGTTCTTGATTTGTATCAAGAACTTTTTTTTTATGGCATTTATATATTTCCTGTGTGGTATGGTATATTATGGTACATATCTTTTGTATATATTGTATGGTCCTTATCAACTTCGTGATAAAAGATTTTACTGTATTGTGCAAACAACAGCCTAATCATCTATGAATGTATTTCTTAACACATTTCGTTGCATATTTAAAAAACTAAATGCAGCTTTGGGAGTAGCATCTAATAGTCACACATGATGTTTGTTAAAATGGCTCAAGTTAATCTGAAATTAATAATATCAGGATAGTGAAACCAAGATTTTTGCAGTCTATTTGAAGTTGAGTTGGTCTATGATGCAATGATGGCATATTAAAGACTCGAAGATTACGAGTGCTGCAGCATAGTGTTCTATACTTTTGGTAATGGCCACTATCAAATTCTATTGAGAGTTTTATTTAATTAATGGATGCAAATTAGCAACCTAATTTGTTTGGTGTGTTTTTTAGTCCTTCTAAAGTAGTGGCACTTTCATAATCAATCATAATCAAAGTATGAAATTTTATTATTAAATTATTATTATTAAATATGAATTATAATGAAAAGTTCAATGTAAGTTGTATTGTTAGGATTATGAGGAATTTTTTAAATAAAGTTAACATATTAATAAACTGGCTGATTAACAGCCAGTTTATTAATATGCAAGATTATTAAATTGTCAACATTTACATTCTAATTTGGTATAAAGTAGATTCTCAATTTATAATTGAAACTAGGGATTTCATATCAAGTTCTAATATGGAAGTTGAATAAATAATACAGTCCGCCTAATGACGCATTTTTTAATATTCCTTCTGTTGGATTCCATATGTTTATTTTCGGAGTTATAGAATTAAAAATTTAATTGTTTTTTTTAATGTCTAGTTGGACAAGGAAACAACCAACCTAAATCACTCTCGGTAACATATTGAGGTATAATCGACATCGGATCACTAACAGCACTTGTTTCATCGAAACTAACGTCACTAGTTTCCATTTTGATGGATCTCACATTTAATATATCACTTAAATCTGTTACTTCCATGTTTGGAAAATTAAGTTCAAAATTTTCTTGTTTTGAAAATTTAAGGAAAAGGAAACAAAGAGTGCACTTCCGCGTAAGGCGAGCAGCGCCGGAATGTCAATTGTCAATATTCAGTAATGTCAGTGGTAATGTCATTATTGTTTGACACTTTGACATTTCCTAGTGCGTTTCAATCATAGACCTATATAGTAGGGACACGACATATTGTTCTATACGTACAATTGCTTATATAAATAGCACCCATTTTGAAGGCACACACATAAACATATATCTATCTCGTTCTTACTCAGCACTTTAACTCGCAGGAAAACAATATAACAGTATTTCAGTGCGTACATAAAATGAAACATGAATATACGTAAATATCTCCGTCTCCGTCTAATGAGGCCGAAAATCCGCCATGTTTAGCGCGCCAAATGTCATTGTCACGTCAGTTCGGCCGTCTGTTTTGGGTTGTACATTATTTATTGACTTTGATATCGATTTAATATGATTGATTATATAAAATTTCATAATTTATCATGCTTAAAACATACAAAAATAATAATTAAAACGTATTTTATAGGATCTCAAGAAAGTCGATGCCCTAAAACTATTATCTATATGTATTTAAATTCATTATGGAGCCCTCATCCGAAAAATCCATTTTTCGGTCGGAATCTATTGATCATGACACTAATCATAAATACCTCTTTAAAATATGTCATCAAAACATATTTAGACATTCTGTTTAGATATTTCGGGAAAAAGGCTACCGACAAAATCTCTTCGGAACTATTTAAATAAAATAGTTTTATTCGCAGTGAGTAAAACACTATTGTAAATTCGTTAAATATTTAATACTTAAGTGATTTTAGAGAGGAAGTCACAAGGAATGACGTTTTTAATAATGAATAAATGTTCTGCAGGTGTTTTTTTTTTCACGCGGTCCCTTGATAAGTTTAAAATTTGAATCACTCTCAAGTGAAAGTGATTCAAATGGTGCGGCGCACCTTCCTTGGGGTGCGCTGCGGTAGTGTGTTACGGACTTTAGAGTCAGCAAAACAATTAAAATAGATTGTAATAGTCTAAGAAAAACACGTACTCAAAATACGATAACATTCAGCATGCTAGAAATGGGCAGATGGCACTGTACTACGCCATATCTATATGTTTTGCGGCAAACGACAACTTTATAAAATCAGTGTAGCAAATTTTAAAAATCGTTATATCGTTTACTTGGCAAATTTGAAGCACGAACTCGTCTTAGATTTCACATAATATCTAAATCACATCACCTTTGCACATAACAATATACTTACTTCCTATTAAAGTATAAATTCTACAAATACATTCGTACTCAACAATATTTAAAATAAAATGAGCCAAGAACGTTTATCGATAAAACCTACTAACATTAAAATCTTCTGGGCAGCACTAAAACCGCCATGTTTTGTGGCCAGATGACGTCACAGTGGCACGAATTTAATGTTGATGTTTCATTTCCATAGGTTTCCTACTTCAGTGGTCAACGCTAATCAGTTAATCAGTCGAGATCATAGACCTATATAATAAGGACACGACATATTGTTCTATACGTACAATTGCTTATATAAATAGCACCCATTTTGAAGGCACATACATAAACATATATCTATCTCGTTCTTACTCAGCACTTTAACTCGCAGGAAA